TTTTTAATGAGCACAGCTAGGCTTTGAAGTGTAACTCATCAACTTCCTATTTTGCTATCAGGTATATATGTTAGATGATACGTGTGTATGCCTATATTATGTCTGGTGTATAGTTATATTAACTAATTTTTGTTAAGAAAATTTTTGTGTGCTTATAAAGAAGTATTATTCACTGGACACTGCAATTACAAAAGTTGTTTTTATAAAATATGTAGTTAGCTACTTGAAGTCTCAGAGGAGTTGTTAAAACTGAGAAGTCCAGGAGTTTTGGTCAGAGCTTGGAAAGAGAAAATTTGCATTTACTAGTAGTTAAATGAATATGAACTTAGAAAAAGAATTTCCTGAACCCCGTTAGTTTGGAGTTTGAAGTGCAGCATAATAACTCTGCTACTTAATATAGGAAAAAAGATTTAAACTTAATGTAACTGTTGCACTTGGATATTTGAGTATTCTATACTTAATGTCTTTGTTTTGCCGTACTCTTGGAAGTCTGCTGTTTATTCAGTTGCAGTAGGATAAATTGTTCCCAACTATTGCAGGCTCAACAGGCTTTGCCTAGCCAGCCACTTGGCCCTCAGCAGCCTCAGCAGCCATGTGTTCCTCCAGCAGCAGCAGCAGCGCTTGGTGGCCGTGGACGACAAAGGGGCCCTCCGAGTGTTCCACAAGGCCAGGACGAGAGAAGGCCAAAAGGTCAGAAAGGGTGGAAAAGTTCATTGCCCACAAGAGCAAGTGTTTCAAAGAGAAAGCAATTAAGGCATTCTTTAGACTGTCTTTCTAATTTTTCATTTCCAAATTGGATTTATTACTAAGAATTGGAAAAGTCTGCTGTACATACCATGTGATGATAGTATTGTCATTCTGAGGGGCAGTATAAATGAACCAGGAATTTTGAAAACTACCTTGAGTTTGCTCTACTCCATCTGTACTCTCTCCTCTATCAAAATACTTCAAAAGATAAATTAGAAGCACAATTAACTGCATGAATACCAAAAGCAAATTTCATTTTGCTAGGACATTATTTTTCTTGAATCGAAATCAGGAAATTAAACTTTCTTACGTGTTTCACATCGCGGTGTATTTAATTATTTCGGTGCCAGCTGGAGCTGAAATGAAAGATCTTTCTTCCCTGTATTTGCAGAAGAGATTATTGATTTGGAGGGTTTATATCTTTTTTTTTTTTTTTCATCTGGCTAGTGAGCCATTCTGTTTGCTTACTAGTTAACCGTCTGCAAGTCTTAGGAAGTTAATACGTGTTACTTGAATGCTGTTTTAAGGTTGATTTACTACATAGCAAAAGCTGAAACCTAAAATTTCATGATTTCTCTTAATTTTATAAGTATATGACTTTCAAAATGGAGTTGTATTTGATTGTTCTTTGTACATAAGACTTGATTGTAATTCTTCCTCAAATTTTGAAACAATAGGATTACAGATTTCTGAAGAACTTCAGCAATTGTCTTTAGGAGATAGGGGTGGACGTCGTAAAGATTTCCATGACCTCGGGGTAAATACACGGCAAGCCATAGAACATGTTCAAGAATCAAAAACTGGTATGTTCAGCTTAGACTGTAGACAAATAAGCAAGTTGAAATGAGTAGTTTTGCTTTGTTTCTGCTTTTAGTATGCTCTAGAAAGCCAAATAAAATCATCATTGTGTGCTGGACCAAGCTACAAGGTGCTCCTGATACCTCTAGTACCTTGTACTGATCCTTTGGGAGACAGGTCCCTGATGTAAATGCTTACCTCATTTGGGCTGAGAGTTTTCCTGACAACTGAAGGAATGATGGAAAGCTCTGCTAAGCGGGTGAGTGTCTATGCCAGCACTATGCCTATGGGGGCATTTCCTCTAGCTCACTGAGCCAAACGGTCGCAGAACACACCTGACCTCTAAGCTTTGTCTGAACGCCTTAGTTTTTAAAAATTTCTCAAGCGTGTTGAATTACTATAAACTGGTAAAATTTTGTAGCTGCTAAGATATTTGCCTTTCATTTTAGGTTCTTCAGGTGTTACGGTAAAATTAACTACAAATTACTTTCGTTTGACGTCTCGACCCCAGTGGTCTTTATATCAGTACCACGTTGGCTATAATCCTGAGATGGAAGCACGCCGTCTTCGATCTGCTTTGCTCTTTCAGCACGAAGAGCTGATTGGACAGGCACATGCATTTGATGGATCGCTATTATTCTTGCCAAGAAGACTAAGGAATAAGGTGTGATACGAGAATGCTGTTTTATTTTTTTATTTTGACTTGCATTTTAGGATGCTTCTTGTTTCTTGCTCATCTGGTGAAGTTACAGAACTGATGTCCCCTGAGCAACATTTAGTTGCATTGAATATATTAGTAGAAGCTAATTTACTTGTGTAGAGAAACTTGGTAATAAACTTCTGGTTCTAATGCTTAGGTTCTGCAGGCTAGAATAATCCTCTGTACAGAAGTGGATAGTACAGGCAGTGTTTTCCTTTGGTTTTCTTTCTGCTTCTGTCGTGTCATAGTTTCTGTATTTGAACATCGAATGTAATTGAAAGGGTGGATATATTGGGTGTGTGTGGTAAACTTTTGGTAGCTGGGGTGGGGGTGTCTGGGGTGGCCCCTGGGGGAAGAGGTCAGGGCTGCCCGGGGCTCTGCACAGCCATTTCCAGCCAGCTTCACAAAGGACCAAAGCTGAGCCCATCAGCAAAGTTGATGGCACCTCTGTGTGTTTCACAAGGAGGGAAAAAATGCCAGAGCAGAAGAAAAGTCTGAGAAGAAAGGGGCAGGTGAGGGAAAACGCGGCGTACGGATGGTAACGTAATGCCTGCCACTCATTGCCTCGCTGAAGGGACGGGTTGTAACCAGTGGTGTTAAGAGGGGGACAGAGGAGGCCGAGGTGAAGTCGAGCCTGGCAAAGGAAGAGGGAGATTATGTGTTCAGTATGTGTTTTAACGTTTGTCTTTTTGCCTCCCATTACCTGAATCGGTAATTAAATCTATATTAATTGCCAGTATACTAAGTTTATTACCTCAAGTTGAGTCTTTCCTGCAATGGTAACTGGTAAGTAATCTCCCTGTCGTCATCTTGAATTCAGACGCTTTGGGGAGAGCCTCCATTCTATTCCATTAGTCACCTTCACCCAGATGAATGAAGCATTTTTGGTTGTAGTTTATAGTTGTAGTGGGAATTCCAATTCCTGTTTCAGCTAAGTCTTGAATTATTACTTAGAATCTTAATGTACAAATCCAATTTGATATTAATGGAGCAAAGTCCAGATATGACCCTCTCTGCCTCTAGTTTTATTAACTGAACTTCACTTTCGCAGGTTACTGAAGTGTTTAGTAGGACTCGAAATGGAGAGGATGTCAAGATAACGATCACGTTGACTAACGAGTTGCCACCTAATTCACCTACATGTCTGCAATTTTACAACATCATTTTCAGAAGGTTTGCTCTCCACGTTATGTCTTTATAAGAAGTCATTCTAAAAATACCTGACTTAAGTTTTTACTTTCCGAAGAACGGACTACAAATCAATACTACAAATGTCCATTTTTAAGCCTTTGTAGCCACCATTGCTCTGTGGCCAGCCACATCTGGCAGCGTTTTCACGTGCAGCGATATGTGTGTTTCTGGCACATGTTGACGTGAAATGAGTTTGTGCCTTTTCCCTGAGCAAGCAGACTGACAGCGAGTGCTGACTGTTGTAGGCAGTTAGTCCTGCCTCTGCCCTCCTTTGGTGTCCCTGGATTTGCCTCTTAAAGCATGTAGTAGTGCAGGGCTTTGAACTGGCAAATGACTTATTTTGCTGTAGTCTTTCCACCTCACCTTGATCCCTGGGCTGCCTGGTTCATCTGGAGTGTAGCTTGTTTGGACTGCTGCCTTCAGCTGGTTAGTGAAGGGTTGGGTGGATTGCTAACTCGCTCCGAACTGATTGTCGTTCCTAAGTGTCCATGGCCTTTCTAAATGGAGTTTAATGAAAAGTTCCCATTCACGAGCGCTTTATCTAGTCAGATGACCAGAAAGGTTGTGTGGAGGGATGGTACCGTGCATGGTTTGATAAACGGAATAATAATGGTAAATGACATCCATATTTTAACTTGTAGGCTTTTGAAGATGTTGAATTTGCAGCAGATTGGACGTAATTACTACAACCCCGATGACCCAATCATCATCCCGAATCACAGGTTTGGCCAAAAGGATACTCGGGTTTAGGAAGGGTGCAGGGAGAAAGGATATTTTGATAACGCTCCGGTGGCTTATCTTGAAATAAAACCATGGACTTAAAAACTGATATTCCTGGGAAGCGTGAGACCTTATTCTCCTAACTTAATTTCTTCTGTGTGTAAGATCTCTTTTAGTTGTTACCAGTGCGTGTTCTACTCTTGCATTTTACTCCAGTGTCAGAAACCTTACTTAAATATGTGTAAGGCTGAGATCTCTGAATGCTTCAGTTCTAAAGCTCAGGAGCTTCATTCTGAAGGCCGTTTAGTCTGCTGTGTAAATTCACCCCTGGCCATACCCTGCTGGATGGGTAGTTCTGGAGCTGGCCTGTTGCTAGCTGCCATGTCTTGTCCCCGTTCCCTGCCACGATCCTGTACAATGGGACTGATGCTTCTGGCTGGCCCGAGGGCTGTTGTACAAGTTAGTAAGCTTGAGTTTGACTGGGGCCCCATCCTGCGGCTGTGGTGTACTCCTCGCCATTAACCTGGCCTACGTAATGTGCTTGATGGAAGAAAGTGGCTGGTGTTCTACTAGATAAGCTGCTGGCCTTTTTCCCTTTAAGGTGTCTTGAATACTCGTACACTTCGTATTTAAGGTATTTAAGACTAATAACATGAAATGGATTTCTTGGGTTTTGAGCCATCCTTTCTTTTGCTTCCGTTACATTGCTACATCATTCAATTAATCTTTTATCTTAAGTTGACTAAAGATACCAACCTGCATGTAAAATCTTTTTCATTTTGTTAGCTTTCAGGAGCTTGCTTGTATTTGGAGAACGGTTTCTTTGAGTCTTGAGTGCTTTCTAGTGTCTGGGAAAGTGGGCAGAAATAAGTCAAGGGGTGAGAATAGAGATTCGTTAAAGCATGTTAAGGTTCTGTGTGTTCTCTTTTGACAGGTTGATGATTTGGCCGGGCTTCGTAAGCTCTATCCTCCGGTATGAGGAAGGCATTATGTTATGTACAGATGTGAGCCATAAGGTTCTTCGCAATGAAACAGTGTTGGATTTTATGTACAGTCTGTATCATCAGGTTGGAGAGCAAAGATTTAAAGATGCCTGTGCTAAAGAGCTGATAGGTGTAATTGTTCTTACAAAGTAAGTCTCTTTGGACTCTTGACTTAGAGATCTCCTTATTTTTTTTGGATGTTCCATGCCCTGAAGTGTATAATGAAGCATCAGAAAACGTGAAAATTGTATCATTGTCAAGCTAGCAAACTAATCGAGGTGACAGCATTTACAAAAGCAGAAAGTACAGACTGGATTGGTTCTGGTTTTGTTCGGTTTTATAACAGTTTAGCTTTTAGTAGAATTGAGAGCTTGTTTGAATTGAAAACTTGAAGTTACTGCTGCTGATAGGAGCAAAACTTTCAACTCCCATGAGTATTGTCATGAACTTTTTCATCCCGTAGTTCTGTTTCTTTTCTGTTTCAGTTAAGATTTAAAAAAAAAATAAATTATTAAATTGTTTGTTTAGGTACAATAACAGAACATACAGAGTCGATGACATCGACTGGGATGCCAATCCACGGTGTACCTTTAGAAAAGCAGATGGTTCTGAGATCAGCTATGTGGACTACTACAAAATGGTATGGAAACTTAACTGTCAGTGTGTGTGTGGGGGGCTTTAACTTGAAATGTTAGAGCATTGTTCGAGGTTTACTTACAAGGCGTGGATTTGGAATTCATAATTTTCTGTAATAAAATTTTATTTTTAATGGCTACTATATTATCTGAGAGCAGTAAGTACCCTGTGCAGCATGACTGGGCATGAATAGTCCATCCCAATGAGTAGTTGGTCAGGCAGAAGTGCCAGGAGGCCTGCGTGGATGAAGAAGGAGCTCCTGGGAAAACTCAAAAAGGAAGCCTACAGAAGGTGGAAGTAGAGGCAGGTAATGTGGGAGGAAGAGAGACATGCATGAATGAGGTTAGGAATGCCAAAGCCCAGGTGGAACTGCATCTGGCCAGGAATGTGAAGGGCAACAGGAAGGGCTTCTGTAAGTACATAAGTGACAAAAGGAAAACGAGGGAAAACTTCACCTGCTGCTGTGAATGCGGCAGGGCCCCTGGTGACCCAGGGTGTGGAAAGAGCTGAGGTGCTGAACGCTGCCTTCGCCTCAGTTGGGACTAGCGAGACTGCCATTCAGGATTCCCAGGCCCCAGAGACCAGGGAGCAGTCTGGAGCAAGGAGGGCAGACCGTTGGTGGAAGAGAGCCAGGTCAGGGTGTGCTGAAGCAGATTAGCCATACTGGAGTCCATGGGCCCTGATGGGCTGCATCTACAGGTAACTGAGGCAGCTGGCTCGTGTCATGGTGAGGCCACTGCCACTAACCTTGGAACTGTGGTGCCTGAGGACGGGAGGAAATCCAGTGTCACTCTTGAAGAAAGTGAAGGCGGATGAGATAGGGAGCTACAGGCCAGGCAGCCTCAGGTGGTTTCCTGGGAAGCTGATGGAGCAGCTAATCCTGGAAACCGTTTCCAGGCACATGAACGGCAAGTCAGTCATCAGGAGTAGTCAGCACGGCTTCACTGAGGGCAAGTCATGCTTGGCCAGCTTGAGAAACTTCTCCGGTGAAATGACTGGCTTGGGAGATGAGGGGAGAGCAGTGGGTATTGTCTGCCTGGCCTTCAGCAAGGCTTTTGACACTGTCTCCTGTGAGAAGCTTGTGGAGAAGCTCTGAAGTGTGGGCCAGATGAGCAGGCAGGGAAGCGGATCAAAAGCTGGCTGCACAGCCAGGCCCAGAGAGGGGTGATGGGTGGCCTGAGGTGTAGTTGGAGTCCAGTAACGAGTGGTGTTCGCCTGGGGTGAGTACTGGGTCCTGTCCTGTTCAGTGTCTCTCTTAACGATCTGGGTGATGGGGCAGAGTGCACCCTCAGCAGGTTTGCCGATAATTTGCTGGAGGTGGAATCTATGGACAGTCGTCTTAAGAGAAATTACTCTGATGCTTTTGGCTCTGAAACAAAGTTTATGTATATCTTTGATAGCTGAACCCTCTCTGCCATTGAGGTCTGCCACTGTAATTGTGAAGTCTTTCTGCACATCACTTTCAACTGTAAAACAGGATGAGACTTCATAAACTACAAGCAAAATTTTTATTATCCATTGTAATTCAGGGTGGAGTTTATAAATGATAAATTTTCTCTGCCTTTTTTGCCTTTGCTGTGATCTCACTTTTTTGGTTTTAAATGCTATCCTTTGCATGGTTTCTGAGGTGTGGTTCTCTTTAAGAAACAGTTCTTGAAAAACTATGAAGTACGATTGTTGACTGTCAGCTTGTATTGCCTTTTTTTGGTTTGTTTTTTCTTTTTCTAGACTAAATTAGTGAGTACTAGAGAGACCAACTCTTGCCAGATGCAAGGAAAGATTGTGGGAGGGTTGAATTTCAGAAACTTCCCTTGGAATCTTCTTGGATTCTTGTGACGTCTTGAATTAAATTGCTCTCTAGGGCGGGAACCTTGTCCTTTACTGAACTGGACTGAGCGTCCTAATCTTGAGTCCGATACTCTGGGTGATGCTGCCTCAAGCAAGGCAGAAGCACTGTTTGTGTTGGCTCTTACAAGTCAGTGATTTGATGGCACCAATAGAGAGAATAGTGCTTTCCTGTTTGGCCTTTTCTGACAAAACCGGTTCCTCACAAGTCAGATGAGCTGATTGAGAAAAGTTGCTGGTGGCTTTTGTTTTGGTTTTGTTTATTTTAGGAAAAATACTCATTTTCTATATTGAGCATTATTATTAAGAAAACAGAGTGTTATGAATAAACTAACATACGGTATATATTTCTGATACAGCAATATAACCAAGAAATCACTGATTTGAGGCAGCCTGTCTTGATCAGTCAGGCTAGGAAGAAGAGTGGCAGCATCGTGCCAGGGCCTGTGGCTCTCATTCCAGAGCTGTGCTTCCTAACAGGTACTGTAGCTTTTTTTCATAGCAAAGCATCTGTCAAACCCTAGTGCCTACTGAAACTGGTATTCTGACAGCAGCCTCTTGCCCAGTTAAGTAGAAATGTTTTGTTTATATCAATGTGATTTTTAGAAGCAAGTTTTGTAGCGAAAAGGTTAACTATTTAAATGAGTCTGAAAAGTTGCAGTTGTTCTGATGCTGCATAGTCTTTACATGTGGTCTTCTACATTGGCTCACTGATAACTTGTAGTGTCCTTTTGGTAGTAAAACTTCAGTTGGAGAAAATTACTATAAATGGATAACTTTGTAAGATCCATAAATATGTCTTTTCCCCTGAGATACTTGCTTTGCACTAGCAGTATCTCTCCATCTCAGCTGTTTTGTTTTGCTTTTGAAATTAAAAGAGCTGCATGTCTTGTGGGGTTCCCTCAAATGCAAAAATCCAGAATAGTTTTTTTCTGTGAGTGTGTGTACGGGGAGCAACTGAAAAGCTGGATTACTGCAGACACCACTTGACAAGCCCACAATACAGGCGTAGTTAATCTGCATGACTTGTAAGTTGACTTTTCTTAGCCCTTAGTCTAACTTGTGCTCAGAAAAAGATTTTGCTGTTAACAGGATTAACTGAGAAGATGCGTAATGATTTCAAAGTGATGAGAGACTTGGCTGTTCATACACGACTGCCACCTGTGCAGAGGCAACGTGAGATTGGAAGACTTGTTGACTACATCCGAGAGTATGCTGCCTTCCTATCTTCTGTCCTTTGTTGTGGAAAATTTGTAGGATAAACTTCTTTCTTGCAACAAAACTTTAGGAATTGTGCTGGTTTAAAAAAAGAAAAGCCTCAGCAAGAACAAATTTCTTTATATTTTAATTTAAATCTTGTTTTTAAACAGAGATGATGGCGTTCAGAAGGAACTCAGCAACTGGGGTTTAAGCTTTGATTCCGATTTATTATCCTTCACGGGAAGAGTTGTTCAAGGAGAAAAGATCCTTCAGTCAGGACGTACGGTAAATAAAACTGCTTCTAAAATCTTCTGGATCTCTCACTGGTGAAGCAAATTCTTAAGGAAGGAAATACACCTTGTTGGTTTATAAATGAAGGATTATGAGTGAAAATGTTATATGCCAGCCTTTGTCCGAGCAGGAGACTCTCAAACTTCATAGATTGTTTACAAGTTCTGTTTAGAAACCCCTAAAGTTGTTTGGTTTTTTTTTTCTGGCTTGCATTACGGTAGTGTCTTCTTGCAAAATAGTCCCTCTGTCTAAACAGGGTAATTTCAGAGACACAAGCTTGGAGACTGGAGATGTTTCTGACAAGTTTCTATTTATTACAATACCAAGGCTGTCAAATGAAAAGCCACTAATTATTTCAGTTCAGCAGATAGAACATGTGTAGTATCTGTTCATTCAAAGGTGGGGTGACTCTTCAGTATGAATAACTTAGATTTAAATCTAAGTTGTAGATTGCCATAAAATATTATATATTTGCTCTGTAGTAGAGATCTTTTGTCTGTTTGGAATGGATGCCAAATGGAAGAGGGCATTTTACAGTATCTTGGTCTGTATATCTGTGTGTTTGGTAAAGCTTTTTTGTTCTTATTGAAAAGATCTGATAGCTTCTTTAATACTTCTTTTTCTCAAGCAGTTACGTTATTAAAAAGAAATATGGGAGAAAAATAAGCCAATATGTAAACAGCCGAGTCTTTGTAGCACAAAATCATGCAGCAAATATTAGCAACTTATGTGGGCTGAAAATCCTAAGTATCTTTACGTAACTATGAATGAAACATCTGAAGAGTGTAGGATTTCTTGAGAAGGCTGGTTTAAGCTTATTTTACAGTAGCAACCATAGCAGTAAAAGAACAGATAAAAATCCAGTCGTTTGTTCTAGGCAGAAGTGTTACAGTCGGTTCTTGAGGTGCATCAGGAAGTAGCTGTGGTGTAGCTTGTTGGTAGGGCCTTGATTTTTCTTTTTCTCCATCTCTTATTTACAGTTTGACTACAATCCTCAGTTTGCTGATTGGTCAAGGGAAACTAGGGGAGCTCCTTTAACCTGTGCAAAGCCTCTGGACAAGTGGTTATTAATATACCCACGTCACAACTATGATGCTGCCAATACGTTGCTTCAAAGTCTGTCTAAAGTCACGCCATCCATGGGAATCCGCATGAACGACCCAACCCTGTAAGAGTCGTTGGAAAGCCGATGGAAAAACCATGTTGTACTACTTCAGATCTATCTGTTGGCACGCTTAGGCTGTTAAATGAGGAGATAGCATAGTGTGTCACGCTGCTGACTTCTCTGAGATTTTTAATAAACCAGGTTGCTTTCAGTATGCAAACTGTTCAGTGTTCTCTAGTGACTGACTTTCAGACTCGTGCTTTTATTGGTGTGAGAGCTTTCACCGGGGGTTAAAGCGTGCAGAAACCGAACGGTTTTAGACGTACAGCCCTTGAGCAAAACCTTCTCAGGTGGAGCTATGGTTAATACAAGAAGGAATGTCTGTTCTCTTGCTGACTTGGGATGTATTCTAATTTGTTCTTATGGCCAGTATCTTCTTTTGAGTACCTGTGCTTGCTTTTAACTTCGAATTTCATTGCTCTTGGAAGCCAAAGTCGGGGATGATGCTTCTTAATCTTCAAAATGTGTGAATATTGGGACGTTTATTGATATCTATAAATGTGGCACTTCATACAGTACCGATGCGTAATGAGCATTGATGTCTTCACTGAAGGTTGAGTAGCTGTTCGTTGTCGTTTGTTTTTTTTTTTCCTGTAAGCCTTTTTTCTCTTCCTTTTCAGGATTGAAGTAGAGGATAGAACAGAAGCTTATTTGAGGGCTTTACAGCAATGTGTTACCCCTGACACAAACATAGTATGTATTTGAATTCATAATTTCAAATCATGTTAATCTCTGTAATTGGCGTTTAAGACTATTGGGATTGATTCTTAGAAATAAAACTCTTGGCTCCTGAGCATCTACTACATGCCTACTCACAGTCCTAGTCAAACCTCAGACTAACTATGAGTATCCTTCTGGAAAAGAGCCTTTATACTTGGCTCTGAAGTATAGACACGGAAACTTTCCAGAAGTTTCTTTCACTGTGAATGCTTGAATATTTCTCTTGAGTGTTGGAAACTTTTCCTAAAGAACTACAACTGTTACCTAAGTCTGAGAATGCAGCATCTTAAAAACATTTTTTTTCCTTTAAAGGTAGTTTGTGTTTTGTCTAGTGCCCGAAAAGATAAATATGATGCTATCAAGAAATACTTATGTACAGACTGTCCCATCCCAAGTCAGTGTGTGCTTGCTCGCACTTTAAGCAAGCCTCAGACTGCTGCAGCCATAGCAACAAAAATTGCCTTACAAATGAACTGTAAAATGGGTGGAGAACTTTGGAATGTTGAGATCCCGGTAAGTAGTTTTATTTTTTTAAGAAGTAACTGTTTTCCGTGTTAAGCCTTATTTAAAAAATGAGCCTTTTCCCCCCCAAAAAAGAAAATTGAGTAGTATTGGTGTAGTTTGTTTTGTGTCTGTGAGAAGAGACATGGAGTTAAATATGTCATAAGGAGACATTTAATTGAAGAATTCAGTGCCCCTGGTTTACTTAAGCATCCTGAAACCATACAGCTTATGTCATGACCTTGTTACGCTCTAGGATGGAGGTGATGGGTGCTTTGGCGTGTCTCTGTGCTAATCAGTGTTCTGTATCGGTTCCTTTTAAGCTGAAACAGGTAATGATTGTGGGAATCGATTGTTACCACGACACTTTGTCTGGAAAGCAGTCAATTGCAGGATTTGTTGCTAGCATGAATCAAACAATGACACGGTAAGATTTGAATGCCAATGGAAAAGAAAAATACAAAAAAGAATCTGTATCTTTCCCTTCACTGAAAATAGCTGGAACGTGGCGGGCCATCGTGAAGATGTGCCAAGTGATTTACTGTGCACTGTTAATAAGATCTATCTATTGTGAATTGTTTTTTTTTCCACTGCATCCCTTAAGGAATAGCCTTGTCCTCTTCCACAGTGCTTGCACGAGGGGGCAATGGTGGGGAAAGGGCTGGGATGAATAGAGGGCATCAGGGTGACAGGCGCTTCTGCCTTTTGAGTTGACTTGCGAGGGAAATGGTCCCGTAGCACCCTGACTGCTGTTTGGCTGCTGTTTGGCTGCCTTGACCCACACTAGCCTTAAAGACTAAGTGGTCATAGCTACTTCATAAATAACTTTGCTGAAGGAAGCCTGGGAAACCCTTTGAAGGGCATCTTTTCTTTTGTTCTTCCCAGGTGGTTCTCGCGCTGTGTTGTTCAAGGTCGTGGACAAGAACTCGTGGATGGGCTCAAAGGCTGCTTGCAAAGTAAGGGGAGGCTTTCTGCGCTTTTCCAGTCAGGTCTAAGAAGTGACAGTTTGGCTTCCTGTAAACGCACCTCCTCGGCCACCTTGAGGGGAGGCGTTACCTGCTTGCACTTCCATAAAACCAGATTAAAAATACAGTTGTAAATATTGCAGAAAATTGATAGCATTTTGTGTACCTTCTGTCATGGATTCCCACACTTCTTAACGATAATTAAATACTACTTGCCAATGCATTTCAAGGAATGCTTTCAAGGAGATGGATGGAAGGGATGACCGCTCCTTGCTGTGAGAGGCCAGCGGAGTGGATAATATCCCTGGGTTCGTTCTTTTTGTGGCGGGGCGC